TCTGCTTTGAGGGACTCATTACTGCTTAACTCAATTGGCAGGCTAGCTTTCTGCAAGTCATTGAGTCAGATTGTGAAAAATATCCTAGCAGTCCCCTACTTCCTTAGACTGACTTACTCAGACTCACCCCCACTTACCAACATGTAACTTAATTGCATCACCTCCTTTCACGACACCTCTGAATTTAGGTCATCAGGGTCTGAGGGCTTGGCTACACTTAAAATGCTACAGTGGCACAGTTGCACTGCTGTTGTGCTTCAGTGTAGATACTACCTGTTGCCAATAGGAGCGGTTTCCCCATCAGCATAGATAATCCATCTCAAGGGCAGTGGTGCTGGGACAATTTTTATAGTGTTCAGAGTAACAGCCGTGTTAGTCTGTATTCGCAAAAAGAAAAGGAGTACTTGTGGCACCTTAGAGACTAACCAATTTATTTGAGCATGAACTTTCGTGAGCTACAGCTCACTTCATCGGATGGATATAGTGTGAATGCTGAAGGCGGAAACCATGTATTTGGATTGTTATTACTACTTCAAACCAGGGCCGAATTAAGACCTTTAGAGGCCCTAAGCACTGAAAAGATTATGGTGGCCCCCATATGTAATTCAAAATAAAAACAATACTATTTTGTTTTTCGAAATGACACAAAACTTACATGTATGCTGAAATGAAAATATCTTCTTTCTAGATTTTCTGATTGAAAAATTCTGGATAAGTTCATCGAAGCTGACTCGATGAAGCATGTCCGCTTCCACACACAATAGGGAAAGTGAATCAAGTCTGTCCTGATGCATTGTTGTTTTCTGAGGGTTTTTTATTCTTTTCAGCTGAGAAAAAGAGCATTCTGCGGAGCAGTTAGTAATCATCAATGTTAGAAAAATATGTAGTGCGATCTCTACATTTGGAAATACATATTGTATTCCATCTTTCAATATTGTGTCATGAAGATGAACGTGACTGAATTTCATTGTTCCTGTTTCATTAAACTTTGAACGTATATAACAGTGGAACTGCCATACTTCTCCACAGAGATTCATGTTCAAATCAACAGGGTATGAGTCAACTAGCTTTTGGGAACCTTGTGAATATTGTTTGTCAGATAAGTCCATATTGTTTAGAAAAGAAAATCTACTTGATACTACTTTGTACACTTCACCTCTCCTCTTCATATGAGCTTCAAGTGTATCAATTTTAGCATAGTAAGTAGATACGCAAAATTTGTCTCTAGGATTCAATGCTGTTTCTGTTGCACTGCTATCATTTGCTTGTTTTTTCCTGATTTGCTTGCAGGACTGGGCTTCTTTGTAGTAAGTATCAGGCAAGATATCTTTTGATATGTCTTCAAATCTTTCGAAATCATTCCTCAAAGTGTGTAAGTGGTCTGCTAATGATTGACAGAGATCTGCACATGTTTTCAAATCCAATTCTTTTTCTTGGAGAGCTTGACTTGTGTGGTAAAAGTGTTGTAAAATTTCATTCCACATGGTCAACATGAATACAAACGCTAGTTCTTGCATCTTGTTTGCAATGTTTTCTGCCTCTCGTATAGTTTCTCCCTTTTGTGATTGGTCTTCAGCTATACTTTCTAATGCATCCACAATCTTTGAGTAGGACTCCAGAATTGCGCTTGTAGCCACTGCATGTGCCTCCCAGTGAGTATTAGCAAGAGATTTCAACACATGATCATTGCCCAAATATGTTTTAAGAACTGCCAGAGGCGGCTCTACCAATTTTGCCGCCCCAAGCAGTCACCACCGAATTGCCGCCACTGCAACAGCACCGGAGCTGCTGCCGAATTGCTGCCACGGGACACGGATTGCTGCCCCATTCTGAATGCCGCCCCAAGAATCTGCTTGGAAAGCTGGTGCCTGGGGCCAGCCCTGAGAACTGCCCATCAGTTTGTTGAGGCAGAGAAAAATATATAAAGTAACTGGACTGTTGAGAAAAAACTTACTGTCATCGTACAACAATCAACAGCACTGCAGCCAACAAGCTTGAGAGAGTGTGCAGCACATGATATGAATATGGCATATTTGTTCCGTTCTAAAAGCTTCTGCATTCCTTGATAATGCCCTGGCATGTTGGCAGCGTTGTCGTGAGATTGACTTCTGCACTTTGAGAAATCTATTTTGCAAACTTGGCACAGATAATGCAGTACTTGAGTTGCCATTTCTTCACCAGTGTGGCTTTTCAAATTGAGGAATGTTATAAATTGTTCAACTGGTTTTCCATCTGTAGGAGACACATATCTTAGTACAATACTCAATTGATCAATATGTGAAAGATCAGGTGTAGAGTTGACAGATAAACTGAAGTACCCAGCAGTATTATTTCATCCACAATAGCTGAATAAACTTTGTCACTCATTAGATCAATGAGTTCATCACATATTGTCTTGGATAAGTATGATGGGTTACCTCTGTGTCAATCCAAAGCCCTGTCTTTGATTTAAATATGTCAACATTGAATCTCTGTGAGTAGTGCTATTTTCATGTTGTTCAATTAAAACAGTATTCCGCCAGTCACTAAATCCATCTGCAGCAAACCGGAATGTTGAAGGTTTATATGCAAAAAGTTTGAAAACAAAACAGTACACAGACCCTGTTGATGGTGAATACAGTAGCCATTCTCAAGTGTATTTCTCACCATTCGCTTTCATGCTGAAAAATATTTTTTGATCTACAACCTATCCTGAAGGACGACCCATCACTCTCACAGATCTTGGGAGACAGGTCAGTCCTTGCTTACAGACAGCCCCCCAACCTGAAGCAAATACTCACCAGCAACCACACACCACACAACAGAACCACTAACCCAGGAACCTATCCTTGTAACAAAGCCCGTTGCCAACTGTGTCCACATATCTATTCAGGGGACACCATCATAGGGCCTAATCACATCAGCCACACTATCAGAGGCTCGTTCACCTGCACATCTACCAATGTGATATATGCCATCATGTGCCAGCAATGCCCCTCTGCCATTTACATTGGTCAAACTGGACAGTCTCTGCGTAAAAGAATAAATGGACACAAATCAGACGTCAAGAATTATAACATTCAAAAACCAGTCAGAGAACTCTTCGATCTCTTTGGTCACTTGATTACAGACCTAAAAGTTGCAATTCTTCAACAAAAAAACTTCAAAACCAGACTCCAACGAGAGACTGCTGAATTGGAATTAATTTTCAAACTGGATACAATTAACTTAGGCTTGAATAAAGACTGGGAGTGGATGGGTCATTAAACAAAGTAAACTATTTCCCCATGTTTATTCCCCCCCCCCCCCACTGTTCCTCAGACATTCTTGTCAACTGCTGGAAATGGCCCACCTTGATTATCACTACAAAAGGTTTCCCCCCCAATGCCCTCCCCTGCTCTCCTGCTGGTAATAGCTCACCTTAAGTGATCACTCTCCTTACAGTGTGTATGGTAACACCCATTGTTTCATGTTCTCTATGTATATAAATCTCCCCACTGTATTTTCCACTGAATGCATCAGATGAATTGAGCTGTAGCTCACGAAAGCTTATGCTCAAATAAATTTGTTAGTCTCTAAGGTGCCACAAGTACTCCTTTTCTTTTTGCGAATACAGACTAACACGGCTGCTACTCTGAAAAATGTCTTGTTTGTTTGCCTTTGGTAAAAGTCAGATGTGATTTCTCAAATGGCCGAGTGTGGTGTTGACAGTCATTTGGTCCACGATCTATCCAGTAAGCTACATCATCGGTACTGAAAAGAACCCAAATACCAGGATCTTTTCTACTATTATTTACAGCATGAGCAGGTTCCATCTCTAACACATCCACACCTTCTAGAACAATGTCTGTTTTACCACCAGGAGTAGGATGATCAGGTACAGTCTCTGACACGTCCACATGTTCTAGAATGGTGTTTGTTTCACCAATAGAAGAAGGGTCAGTCTCTGAAACACCTACACGTTTTGGAATAATCTCTGTGCTACTGAGAGAAGATGTTGCTTCTGATGGATTCGCTTTGAAAAATGATGTCAGCTTTGGAAGATTTTGGAAAATTTCACTAGTTTTTTGTTTCTTTTCTTCCACCAGTTTACGTTTCTGTGCTCCACTCAGTTGGTTATGTTTCATCCTGCCCCTTATCTCAGTTATCTGAACTTAAAAAAAAACCAAAAAACAAATTACACAAAGTACTGTGACAAAGTTCCTCCTCTGCCTTGGTGGGTCCTGCGCTTATTGGCGGATTTGCTTGCCTCAGAGATTCACGGCAGCCCTCAGTTTGGCCACTTTTGCTAGTGGCTCAAACCTGCCATTCACTCAGCTAACCTCATCACTGGCAGGCCTGGGAAAAAGGAAGGAGAACAATCCCTGCAGTCTCTGCTGATCCACCATGTGCGTCAGGGAACAGCCCAGAGACCTTCCCCTCTGGTGGAACCCACAGCCTAGGTCAACTCCTCCTGTGTCTGATCAGGAGTTCGGAGGTTTGGGGGGAACTCGGGCCCGCCCTCTACTCTGGGTTCCAGCCCAGGGCCCTGTGGAACGCAGCTGTCTAGAGTGCCTCCTGGAACAGCGCGTGACCCCTACAACTCCCTGGGCTACTTCACCATGGCCTCCTTCCAACGCCTTCTTTATCCTCAGCACAGGATCGTCCTCCTGGTGTCTGATAATGCTTGTACTCCTCAGTCCTCCAGCAGTACATCTTCTCACTCTCAGCTCCTAGTGCCTCTTGCTCCCAGCTCCTTGCATGCATGCCACAAACTGAAGATTCTAGCAGCTCCTTCATTGGCTCCAGGTGTCCTAATTAGCTTGCCTGCCTGAATTTGTTCCAGAAAGTTCCTTCTTGTTCTGGAACTGCCCATGTTACCTTACCCAGGGAAAATGGACCTTCTTAATCTGGGACTAATATATCTGCCTTCTAACACTCTCCTGTAGCCATCTGGCCTGACCCTCTCACAGTACACTATTTTTATGTATATATAGAAAGAAAAAAAAACGAATCAAGTACGTATAACTCAGAAGAATATATCAATAATAAAATATAAATTTATTGCAATACATTACAGGATCTGATTTCTTCGCATTATTTCGATCTAGTTAGTAGGACGCCCCCCTGGTTTAGGTGGGGATAAAAAATAAAAAGAGGACAGAAAAATGGGGGAAAAGCATGTAGTAGAGTGTAAGGAAGTCTAACAAAGTTCTGATTTTTCCCATGATGACTACTTGGATGCTTTTTTTGAAATATCAAATTTAAAAAAAAAACAAAACCTTTTTTTTTTTGGTGCCCACATGCTGGTGCCCTAAGCATGTGCTTAGTGTGCCTATTGGGTAATCCAGCCCTGCTTCAAACAAGGGGGCATGGCATCACCCCCAGCACCTCTAGTTCCAGTACCTATGCTCAAGAGGCAATAGCTTGCTCGACTGAAGAATTCTTCTGTTGATCTAGTGCTGGCTACACAAAGACATACGTTGGCTTAACAATGCCACTCAAAGGTGTGGACTTTTCATACCCCTGACTGATGTAGTTAAACTGACCTAATTTTCTAGTGTAGACCAGGCCTGAGTTGATACCCTCATGCCAAGGGGACCATACAGAAGTGTACCAAGAAAACCAACTAACAGGAGGACATAAGAATGCGTAAGTTCAAGTAGGACTTCTCCCCTACTTTTACACACATTTCCTTTCTTCACAGTGTGTAAATTGTACCATCTTAGAGTCACTTACACTTTGGGCATGAATGTACTACAGCATGAGTGTAAGGAGGTTAACTTCTACATCCCCTCTGAAATTGGGTGTGAATGTTACTAATATGGTGTAATATTTCCAACTTTTCCTGCTACAAACACTGACAATTTGTCTGTTGAAAAAATGATTTTTAAGATGTGGGGTAATATAGTGCCAGAGATTTTTCAGCAGAAGTGCCCACTGATTTCAAACACCAGTGAGTTCTGCCTGAAATTGATGGTATAAAGCAGCCCATTGAAATTTAAAAAGGAGAAACAGTTTAATACAGAGAAGCAGATGACTGAAATAACTTTTCTTTTCATGAATCAAGTTGAAAACAAAATGCCTAAAACCTTTGACAATTCCTACACACACAACAAACATGATTTTTTGCCTTATTACTGTAAGCTGTTTAAACATGGTCCATATTTGGTCCCTCCAATGCAAAGCTCAGTTTCAAAATTCTGTTCTTAGTTTCCCCCTGTATGAATTCAATGTAACTCCATTTCAGTCAATGGACTTGTTCTTCGGTTACACCAGTTTAATTATAAGCAGAATCTGGCCATAAAATATAACCATATTATCCTAGTTGTGGTTTCTGTCTTCTTTCCCACTGTTACAAAATATTTAACTTTTTTTTTTTAAAAACAAGAATGCCCTACTTGACAACCGCGCTCTTCTTTTTCCTGGTATATGAATGACATCCTAATCTTAACCGCATGACCCTGAAATAAAACTCTGCAGGTCCAGCTTTCATAGGGGCAGCCATAGTGTTCTGCCTTTTCTTCTTTTTTAAGCTCAGACAAGGCAAGGAGATAATTTTTTAAAAATCTGAAAGAACATTGAATCAAAATGGAAAATGCAGGAAAGGTAGAGGGTGGAAATTTAATTGAGATATCATTCCAGTGCTCATGAGAAACCTAGGGAGATTAAACTCTTTTTCACACTAACTGAATATGGTCCTTCAACATGCACAGTAACTGGATCTTTTTTATATTAGTATATAAGAGCTCAGTTGTTCAAGTAAGGTTGTATGTTGCTATGATCCTGATCATATGATTCAGGTTTTATTCAGCAGACTGGTCACATTCCTTTGAACTGCTGAATAATAGAAAGCAGTTGCTGATTGCGCTGTTGAATATTTTGCTGTTCTTCTTTTAGCCTCTCCTGATCATGAAGAATCTCTTCCTGCAAAAAGCAGGAGACCAAGCTTTAGATGAAACATCCAGTCCTGGCAACTAATATGAAAAATGAATTAAAATGTAACACCTCCTCCCCACCCACCTCTCTCCAATCCAAAAAAACCCATAAGTGCTAGAGATCCACAGCTATGACAAGACTCTCTTTCAGTAAAGTAAAATTCAAGAACCAAAGCAAACAAAATCCAACTAGCTCACTGCCAAGTGGAAAAAATAATTTAGGGTCAGATCAAACTGAAAATTCAAGGGCTTGCCATATAGGTTGCAGGAATTTGTCCCTTCTCGTGGCAGGGCTTTGGGGCTTGGAGTGGGCAGGGAGTGAAACCTCTCTACTTAATAAATCCAATGGATCCACAGGAAAAAATACTTCCAGATCCCCAGTGGCAAAAAAAGCCCAGATGGAGGGCTGCTTCCTGTGTTTCTCTATTATCCCTTCCCCTCAGTAACACAGTTCTAGCAGGCTAAGTTCCCCTGAGGCTACTTAGTAGAAACCTCAGAGGGGACTCAGCAAGAATTATTACGTTTCTAACAGCATTACCTCCAACTCTAGTTTCTGTGTGGAAATCTATGGGCTGAGCAGAGGATGATTCCAATTTTCCACAGAGAATCTAGTTCTCATGAAAGCTATTGAATAGCTTCTCTTTACCTACCAACTAACTCCCTCTCATGCCTTATCAGCAGGGCCAAAAAAATCCCTTCAGAAACTTTCAGCCAAATGGGTGACATTTGCTCCACGCTTTCTGAGCATGAGTGGGCCTTGTGCAGGATGTTGTACAGCAGAATTTATAACTATCATCTATTATTCCTTAGTCAAACTCCAACTCCAGTGGGAGTTCTGTCTGAGTAAGGGCTCAGAACCATGTTCTTCCCAAACTGTTTTTTTATCTCAGTAGCAGGAGGAATCTCCAAGTTTCAGCTGTGGAGTTTCCTCCTCACTATAACTTCAGAAGCCTAGGCTTGCTCTCTCCTTATGTAATGTTTGGAGTGAGGGTTTGGTCTCCTGACTTCCTGAGATTTCCAGAAGCCCAAGGTCCCATGCAGCCAATGCACAGGGCTCCCCTCTCTCTGCTAGTTTCTTATTCAGGAGCCATTCTACCACTTCTGACAGCCCCTGCAGCTTCACAGTAGTAGCCATGAAGGAGAGTCCCTAGTTATTAATGTTAACACCTGATTGGATAATCCATAGATTCAGCATGGCAGCACACTCCAGACTGCACCTGCTCCCTAGTTCTATCCCTGGCCCTACCTCCAAATACTTCAGAGGCCTGACCTGGCACAGATTAGGAAAAAGGCTTCTGCAGTTTTCCTAGTGGGGGGAGGAGAGGAGAACATACTGCAGAGCTGGTGCTGTTGTGTTCTGTGGGACTGGCCCAGTTATAATCTGCTTGCACTCCTCTCTACTCAAAGCACAGGGGAGAATCTGGCTCTGAGTGAGGACGGCAGGACTGGGCCACTGAGGAGGAGGATTAAAAGAATGCATACATTAAAAAACAAAACAAAAACAAAGCTACATTAATAAGGAAAATCATTGTGATAATAATTGTTAAACCAGGTTCTAGATGGACAAAATAATGTATTTTAAGTTTTAAAAACAAACAAATATAGGACAGGGGGGGTTGTTAACTTTTTTAAAAGTAGATTTTTTTGATTCAGTTCTTACCACAGGAATTCTTAAAGGTAAATCAGAGCTAAAACAGAGAAATAGTGAAACAAAACATGTTTATCATTCATGCAAAAATGTATTGTTTGTTGCTGGAAACATGTCTATGTATTTTAACTGCCATAACTAAAAAGCTGAAGGAGAAAACAATTAACATCTTTGAAAGCAATTTAAAAATGTGATCCAGAACTAGCAGTCGGTGATTCATTTAACATTTCCTTCTAGAATACTTTGATAACAGTGGTTTTGTTGTTGTTGTTGTGTCATCTTTATATGCGGTGTTCAAGAAAAAAAGAAACATTTTGCTTATTTCACTATTGCTACAAGAATTGTGCCCACAGGACATATAGAAAGAATCCAAATGGACTCTCCAGTTATGTATACAGTTGTACGTTACTTTGAAAAAGTTTACCTTCAGTTTACATATTTCTTTTCTTTCCTTGTCATTTTCCTCTGCTCTGGCTTTGAGCCAGGCTTCATTTTGGGCCTTGTGCTTATCTAGCATCTCTTGCAGCTCCTGGTTTAAAAACAAACAAAAATTAAAAGATATGCTAAGTGGTACTGGCTTTAAAGTTGTCCATGTTCAATTACATACATTAAAAAACAACCCAGTATCTAGTCCAGTGCATCTTTCAGGAAACAGCTGTCAAAGACATACTCACATCCTAGGACTCTTACAAATTTCAGAACGTTTAAATTTCTTCAGTCTCCCTAAGCTGTATTTTGTTCAGTTTTCTGTTTAACCAGTGATAATAAAGAAAATTGTTGACTTTGACAAATGCAGTAATTTATTATTTCTGCAAATGTTTACTCATTTAAGTAAGTCTTGGTCATGTAAATAATAATACTTAGCAGGCCTATGCTTGCACCTGAATGGTGCTACTTGTGAGTGAAATGCAATACCCCTTTTGGGGACTTCTGTCCCACATTTTGTAGGGCTAGCCTGGAGACCCCTTCTGCATCACAGAGGGGAAGGACAGGCTGGCCTTTCACGTCACTGACAGGAGACATCCTTACAGACACTGTTCAACATTGAGATGGTCCAAGTAAGGACTACTTGTGTGAACTGGGTTCTGCAGTACAAGGCCTGTAAATTGCACTCCAGCTCTGAAAAGTGGCTATACAAAATGGCACCTTCTTACTTAATGGACCTGATCCAGTGGATATTTAGTATCACATCAACTGAATTTACTGATAAATCTGTACAACTTCTTACTCTTCTTCGCCCTGCAGAGCTAACAAAACTAAGAGAGAATGAGCTGAGTTTATTCTGGCTCATGCATCAACAGAGTTGTTAAATAAGTTCCAATTATAGGATCTCTGTGGCTTAGCCAGTATGAGCTCAATTTGATTTTCAGGTTAAAGGCTGAGTTTGCAGACTTGGCAATTAGAACATATTTTTCTATTTGTAAATTGAACAGATTTGTTATGGAACAACTGAAATGCAATAAATATGAAGGCTCATGATCAAACACAAAGTCAACTTCCAGTGTAGCACAACAATTTAAAGACAGAGCTGAATTTGGTTTCCTCTGAAATCAATAGAGTTGGGCCAGCTTATGCCAATGGAGATGCCAAAAGTGAGGGCTGAAAGCTCTGAAAAAGAAAATAAATGGGGCTGGGAGATCTGATGTCTGCTGCCCCTGCTCCAGGAAAGTTGGGACTTTTGTTACAGCCTGGGAATTGCGGTTTGTCTAGGGGAAAGAAGAGTGGAAGAGAACTCAGAAAAAAATATTGGAGAAGCCAGATAGTTGGCTGAGCACAGGACTGTCTGAATGAGGAGCAGGAGGTCAGAAGGAAGGAAGGAAAATTGCTTTTCAGTTTTTCACAAATATTAGTTAAAAATACGGTGTACAACACATCTGGATTTGATCCTGATTCAGGGTTTTACTCCTGCACTTTAAACTTTCACATTAAGAAAATCTACATTTCCTGGGATGATTTGCTCTTCAATAGTTGGTCCTACCTGTTACCTAAAACACTGTGTGATTTAGAAACAAAGCGGCTACTGGGAGTACTTGTGGCACCTTAGAGACTAACACATTTATTTGGGCATAAGCTTTCGTGGGCTAAAACCCACTTCATCGGATGCATACAGTGGAAAATACAGTAGGAAGATAGATATATACAGAGAACATGAAAAAATGGGTGTTGCCATACCCTAGAGTTGGAATGGCAACACCCATTTTTTCACGTTCTCTGTGTGTATATATATATATATATATATATATATATATATATATATATATATATATCTTCCTACTGTATTTTCCACTGCATGCATCTGATGAAGTGGGTATTAGCCCACGAAAGCGTATGCCCAAATAAATTTGTTAGTCTCTAAGGTGCCACAAGTCCTCCTTTTTTTTTGCTGATACAGACTAACACAGCTACCACTTTGAAAAGAGACTACTGTGCTACTTGCTAATTAGTTAATCTTGTAAAAGGTTAAAAGGTGGATATTTTGTCTTTGTGTTCAAATAGACTCAAGTAATAGTTGTCTGAGATCTAAAATATCTATCAAGTATCCAAGTATAACACCATCCTCTGCTTGGGAGACAGGAATTTCTATATCAGACGGGTTTCAGAGTAGCAGCCGTGTTAGTCTGTATTCGCAAAAAGAAAAGGAGTACTTGTGGCACCTTAGAGACTAACAAATTTATTTGAGCATAAGCATCCGATGAAGTGAGCTGTAGCTCACAAAAGCTTATGCTCAAATAAATTTGTTAGTCTCTAAGGTGTCACAAGTACTCCTTTTCTTTTTATACCAGACGACGCTTTGTCCAGTTTCTTCCATATCTTTCCTGCTACCTCTTCTCTTTTCTCTTTCTTCCTTTTGCCTCTTTTTTCCTCCTCTCCCACCTCTATTTTTCTTTGCTTTGTATAGTTGCTGCAGGATAGCACAGTCTAATAAGTGAGCACTGCACTTTATCACGATGGCGATGAGATTTGAGCTCATTCTTAGCTCCTCCATTAATGAGTTCCAAAGCTTTGGGCCTGTTGCTAAGAAATCCCTCACTCTCACAAGCTTCACAGAGGGTGGCAGAGGAATGTAGTAATTGAGGGAGGTTGTGAAGAGAAAGGTGTTCTGTGAGGTACAATATCTTATACTGTTTCACTGGAGAGTTGCGATGGACTGAACATGTCAATAAAGTAATATTTATAATCTGTGGAGGGGGGGAGTTTCAGTTTTAGAAAGACTCTTCCTCAGCCAGACCTTATTCAGTGAACAATTTGTATTACCCATCAGAAGCCACTTTACCCGATGAAGTGAGCTGTAGCTCACGAAAGCTTATGCTCAAATAAATTGGTGTATGCATCCGATGAAGTGAGCTGTAGCTCACGAAAGCTTATGCTCAAATAAATTGGTTAGTCTCTAAGGTGCCACAAGTACTCCTTTTCTTTTTGCGAATACAGACTAACACGGCTGTTACTCTGAAACCTGTGAAATACAGTCTTTCATCTTAATTAATTAGCCTCTTACTCCACTTTTCATGTTCTCTGTATGTATACATATATATATCTTCTTACTATATGTTCCATTTTATGCATCCAATGAAGTGAGCTTTAGCCCACGAAAGCTTATGCTCAAATAATTTTGTTAGGCTCTAAGGTGCCACAAGTACTCCTGTTCTTTTTGTGGATACAGACTAACATGGCTGCTACTCTGAAACCTTTCAAATGGGTAGTTAAACTTTTGAAAGGCAATGATTAAAGGCCATTGGATTCTCAATAGGACATCTCTCAGGCATTAGCTCAACAAAACCTTAGAGAAAACAGCAAGTCCAAAACCTATTGGGTAAAAAACTAAATAAATACCTAAAAAGTTCTTAGGGGAAGACCTGAAGAAGAGCTCTGTGTAGCTCGAAAGCTTTGTCTCTCTCTCCCAAGAGAAGTTGGTCCTATAAAAGATATTACCTCACCTATCATGTCTTGCCCATTATCTAGGGCGGCTACCCCCATTCTCCAAACAAGTCGTCCCTCCCCCCCCCTCCCCCCCCCCCCCCGAGATAACTTTTTAGGTATTTAGTTTTTTTACACAATAGGTTTTGGACTTGCTGTTGTCTCTAAGGTTTTGTTGAGCTGACGTCTGAGAGATGTCCTATTGAGATTCCAACAGCCTTTAATGATCACCTTTCAAAAGTTTAACTATCCATTTGAAAGACTGTATTTCAGAGAGCAGTCTACCCATCAAGTAAAGTGGTTTCTGATGGGCAATACAAATTGGAAGTATGAAGCTGCCACTCTCTAGAGTGAAGTCTTCTTTCAGGTATTGAAGAAGAGCTCTGTGTTGCAGCTCCGAAGCTTGTCTCTCTCATCAACAGAAGCTGATTCAATTACCTCACCCACCGTGTTTCAGGGACTGACATGGCTACAGCAACACTATTTGATGGAAGAAATCTCTAGACAGGCAAGCTGTAGGGCAGGGAAAAGAGACGTCTCTGGACACAGGGAAGGGAGACTCTCTCTTTCACCTTAGAACTGGGTGCGGGGTGGAACTCTGACTCTGGGCTCCGAGCCACATAGTGCTTTTTGGAACATGATGCAGAGAGCATCTTATTTGGTTTATCTTGTGCAAAGCGTATGTCTAGGTATGTAACCCAAACAATTTCTTTTTTGTTCTTACTCCACTTTGCTCTTACTCTCTGTTTTTAATCAATCTTGTCCTCATTAAGAAATCTGCTGCTGTGTGTGGGGAAGGTTCACCCAGTCCATCCTGGTCCTGGACATGAAAAAGCATGCTGCAAACTCCAGCAAGGGATATGGATGGAAAAAAGGGTTCTGGAACCTAACCTCCCCACTCTCACCTCAGACAACAAGGCACGGGTAAGGGTTTCCACTCCTGTGTTGTGTTGCAAAAGGCAGTGGCAGGCAAATACTTGGGGATTAGCTAACATAACCAAGGAAGAGAAAAGTGGTAGCACTGGTGTAAGGTAACAAAGGTCTTAAAGGTTTCCACATTCTCTGTGAGACAATATAGTGAGCCGAGCACTGCTCTCAGTTGCCAGTCACGCTGAAGAAGAGGGCTACTGCATTCTGGACTAACTGAAGCTGTTTTAATATTGGAGTAGTGAGTTGGAATACTCCATTGTGGGGTGACAAAGTCATGGATTCTTATGGCCTGGGCTATATTAGGTAAAATGGGATGCAGTCTTATTGCTAGTTTTAGATGGATAAAAACATTTTTGTGGCTATCACTATCTCCGTGTCCAGCACTAGTGAGGAGGCCAGGAGGAGCGCCTGAGACTGCAGACCAATTTAACAATCTGGGGTCAGGCGATAGGATTTCTTTCTAGGTCTTCAAAGTTTCTCCTTTTCCGATCAGCATTCCCTTATCTTGCCCCAGTTCAGCTTCACCCAGCTGCCTTTCAGTCGTCTCAGCCAGACAGGATATTTGGGAGATGGTGCTATTTGCATTTAAATAAAGACAACATAGAGCTGAGTACCATGTACATTTTGCTGGCATTTCAGGCTCTGACTATCTTTGGGCTCTATGGCAACAGAGAGACCAGGTGTTGCTTAGGGCTGGTCTACACTGAAAATTTACATTGGAATAGCTCCGCCTTTCCACTTCCCTGAGAGACATAGCTCTGCCAGTCTAATCCCTGGTGTAGACAGTGCTAGGTCAATGGGAGAATTCTTCCATTAACCTAGCTACTGCCTCTTGGGGACGTGGATTAGCTACAGCGAAGCAGATCCTCTCCCATCGTTGCAGTGAGTGTCTACACTGAAGTGCTACAGCTGCAGCTCTGCTGCATTCATGCCGCTGTAATGTTTTCACTGTAGACACACCCTTTGATTGTGAGCTCTTTGGAGCAAGAGCTGTCCTTTCTGAATGTTTGGAAAATGACCAGTATATAGTAGGCACTAATCTATCACAAATAAAGAATAAGACATGCACAGGCACTGACTTCTGCTCGTGCCGGTGGGTGCTCGACCCTGCTCTGCCCCGGCCCCGCCCTAACTCCACCTCTGCCCCACCTCCTCCCGCCCCTGCCTTACCCCCATTCCAACCCCTTTCCCAAAGTCCCCGCCCCAGCCTGCCTCCTCCTCTGAGTGTGCCACTTCCTGCTCCTCCCCCTCCCTTCTGGAGCTTGCTACGCTGCCAAACAGCTGTTTGTCAGTGGCAAGCACTGGGAGGTAGGCGGAGGAGTGGGGACGTGGCGTGCCCAGGGAGGAGGCAGAGGCAGAGCGGAGGTGAGTTGGGGTGGGGGGAGGGGAGCTTGGCTGCCAGTGGGTGCAGAGCACCCACTCGTTTTTCCCTGTGGGTGTTCCAGCCCCAGAGCACCCACAGAGTCAGTGCCTATGAAGACATGAAAGGAGCAAAAATTGGAAGGAGGGACTTACAGATCCAGTGTGGTGTGGGTAGGGGTACGATGGAGACTGGGTGCTGGGGACCAGTTGTTGGAGACACTGGGCACTACTCTAGGTAACTCGGGAGGGTGGAAGACCACGAGTGTCGATGAAGGCCTCCTGCTCTAGGCCCAGGCAAACCTCAGCTCCTCCATTCCTTGAACTTTCTGTAACCCTGCAAAACTATGCATCAGCTAGCACACAAACAGACCTGTTTGCACTTAGCTCGCTAGCCAGAACCAGCTTCGGCCAGGTAAACTTATAGATAAGGAAGGGATGTTTAGCTCAAACTAGTGGCAAGTATAACCATATAAGGCACGGCGTGAATAATGCTAATGAGGAAAGATAACTGGCTGCTTTAGATGATTGGCTGTGCTATTGTACGGGGCAACAAGTAATTGGTTGTATATGCTTGCATAGTTAAGTAGGGAAAAAGGCATAAATTGTACGGTGTAACCTGTCTCTGGTGCGCAGGATTTGAGACAGCTCAGTCTCCCTGTGTCCCTATTTGAAGCTTCAAATAAAACTCTCTGCTTCTCCACCCCGTTGTGGTCATTGGCGTGATGTACACCAGGCAACGAACCCAGCTGTTGCTTGCCTCGGGCACTCTGTGCCGGCAACACAATGATATGAGTCTCCTTCAATTCCAGTCATCGAGGAATGGGCATTGGGCAGAGGAAAGACACAGATCAGTTTTAATGGCTTGCAAGACTTGTGGAGAAGGCAAATATTATATATCAGGAGATCAGTTCAGGCTTCCCACTAGCAGGCAACAGCTCAGATCTCCTCCCTTCAAGTAAAGCCATTGCCTTGAAAGGCCTTACAGGACTGGAGTGAGGAAGTAGTTGAATACACAGTAAATAACTTGCTTTTCAAGCCAACTGTGTTTGTCAAGTTTCTCCTAAAATTTTAAGTCATCTCCATGCTGGATAAAACTGGGTGAAATAATCTGTTGCAACCAGGCTGGAGGCAAGAGATTCTGAGCACGACTTCATCATAGATATGGGAGAGATTCTTGGATAGATCTGTGCCTGGATTGCCATAAAGCACATGAATTTGTTGCTGCCTGCAGTACTTTTCTGGAAAGGATTGGATGTGGAGAGCCTTGATTAGCAGCTCTAGGTTAGCAGAAAGAGCAGACAAAGGAAAGAAAATGCTGTGATCCACTCATTATCAGGAATTAGGAATCAGGGAGAGAGCAGTTCTGTCAAGATCTAGAGATACCCTACACTTTAAATGTCCAAAACCAGGAACCTAAACTCTAAGTGGTAGGTGAAAGCATCCTTTATAGTAAGCTATCAAAATGAAATATTTCATCTAATAGCAAATATATGTAGATGCTGCTACATGACAGAGAGGAATCTGGATCCTACAAAAGAGGAGAAGCAGAGTAGAATGTTACAGGAAAAAAGACGATTAATCTTTCAGAAGAACAGCAGGATGTCTTGGAATTTGGTAGCCAAGGGACATAACAGCTGGCTAAGTTATGTAGAGACATATTACAATGCCTGTGTAGATCTAACACTTTCCCACAGAGTGTAATTTGATGGTTACTATGTTTTCTGTCTTACCTCTTGCACATTTACAGTAGGGACTGTGTAGCAGGGTGATTACCCGCTACTGCCCTGTGGGGCTTAAAAGCCAGCCCTGGGAGAGAGCCAGGGCTGAGGGTAAGAAAAGCTAGGCTGATTGGGGAAATGGCCGCAGCTGGGCCTGTAAAGGGGCTGCTAGACTGAAGCTTAGTCAGTCTTTCTCTGCATTCAGAGAGGGAAGGGCCTGGCTGCAGGGACCTAGGGAGTACCTAGATTGGAGCAGGGCTGAGGGGGAAAGGCCAGGGAAGCAGGGGAGCTCTAGCCTGGAAACCCCAGGCTGCAAGGCCTAGATTAGGACCTATTAGGTACTGGGGTTGCAAGGGGGCAGCCCACGGGTAGAGGGAGGCAGCAGGTCCAACCCCTTTGCTTGTGATACACTGCAGTCCACCCAGGGAGTGGGGCTAAGTGAGGACTGGAAGTAGCCAAGACTGAGGTGAAGTGGGTATAGTGAGTGGGGGGTTCCCCTGGGTGGGGAGACCCCGAGACTGAGGGGTTGCTGCTGGAGGGGCAGCACCCCAGACAAAAGGGTACTGGGTCCGGGAGGGACACAGGGGTGAGTGACAGGTGGATCACCAGAGGGAGCTCTGGAGGCTGGTGAGCTAATTCCCAAGGATGACCAGCAGGAGGTGCTGCCGGGTGAGTCCGGCTCTATTACAGACAGATTCACTCCTTTGAGGATGGGGTTGGGGTGCAAAACAGGTGCCTACATGTCATGGTGATAAAAACATATATAGGAAAGCTCATCCCTTACATCTGCACAAGCAGTAACAATGGAGGGGGGATTTGCTTTGCAAAGATAGGCAGCACTGCAACTGCTATCCTCATCAGTTCTGTTGGAGAAAAACAGCTTTAAATTACTGTTGGGGCAGTACAGGAGCTCCTCTGCAGGAAACTGCTTAGGAGAGACACTGAATCCATGCAACTCTCAATTGATCTGTCCCTGCTCTCTGCTGTAGTGGCCATTTCCAATTTCAGGGCAATGTTAGTTCCTGAGAGGTGCTGTGCCCCAGCTCCAAGTGGACGTTCTATTTTTAGGGGCCTGCAGCCTGGTGAATCTGGCCCAAGATGTTTTGTGAACTTGCCCGTTTCCGTTCTTGAAAGTAAAAGAAATGATGCAGTCTCCATTTCTGCTTTATTACCAGCTAAGATTTTTATAGCTGGGAAAATAAAGTAAGGGAGAGGGCAGCTCTTCAGGCTAATCCCCATTCCCTTTTCTATCCTGCAACTATCCATTTAAAAAAAGATGAGGTTGTTCCCCATGTAGGTACTTTCTAGACTGTAATCAAGTCACCCCTTAACCTTCTCTTTGTTAAACTAACTAGACTGAGCTCTTTGAGCCTATCATTATAAGGCATGTTTTCTAATCCTTTAATCATTCTTGGGGCTCTCCTCTGAACCCTCTCTAATTTATCAACACCGGAGTTGTGCAAATTGAGCCTAGTTAGCATCAAGAGATGTTTTAACTTTTGTGTCCCCATACTTTGCTAATATGCAATTGCTAAAGAAATAAATTCCATCTATGAACATGCAGCCACTTTTTCACCATATTTTTTATAAATACAGAAACCCACCTGCTGTTGATATCTGAACAGTTTGTTGTAAGCTTCCTTTTCATGTTGGAAAGCAATTGTGCCCTGAACTAATTCAGCTTTCTCACTGTAAAGTAAATGGGGGGGTATGTTTAGTAAAAACAAACAAGTCATGAATTACCAAATTAAAAAGGCCTGTTTTCAAAGATGTTGGTGGCTTCAGTTGTTTTTAAAACACAATATGCCATTTTAAATATATATTTCAAATGTAGATGGGATTATTTGATCTGTGCTGGAATACCAGGTATTAGAGGTCTGTTGTTTAGGAGGGCACACTTCTAGAGCAGCCTCTAAACATGCCCAGTTTCCCTCCTAACCACACAAATTTCCAAGTGGAAATCTGCCCAGGAATTAATGTTGCTCCAAACTTCCTTCCTTCACTCCTTTTATCCCCTGGGGTGGAGGTATGTGGGGAGACTGCAGACTCTGGGGAGGAGAAGCAATAGCAGAAAAACAGCTCTTAAGGAATCATACTACACAGAGCTGAGGATCCAGGATACTCCAGGGAGGGTTTATCTTTCCATGCTACAACACAGGATCCACAGGATTGCAGCCTGTTTTCTCTGAGGAACCCTAAGTGAGGCCTCAGTAGGCCTCATTCAATTGTCAGGTTAGAGGTCCATTTCCCTTGAGGCAAAAAGAGAAAGAAAATGCCTTAATGTGAACATGGTGGAGTTTCTAGCAGGATAAGTTTCAAAAATGTGAATTTAGGCATTTTCCCCAGGTCTGATGGCAATATTCTCATGCGACCTTGCTGATGTAGGCCCCAAGTCTGCATGTGCTTAACTTTACTACTTTGAATAGCCCCTTATCTTCAGTAGGGCTACTCACGGTACAATTAAATTAAGCACGTGCATAAATGTTTGCAGGATTAGAATCTAAAGCCTCAGTTTCACAATGAACTCTATGCAGGTGTGTAGCGAGGTGGTGTGGACGAGCCCCTCTGGACACCAAAGTGGGCAGAGCCAGCGCGTCCTGCAGCCACACCCCAGAGGTCAAGGCGCAGGACAGGAAGTATAAAAGCCCAACCCCAGAGCCCACTGGAGAAGCAGCCACTAGAGAGGCCAGACGCCTGCGGCCTAGCTCCCGGTTGGGAGACCCCGGCAACTGTCGTTGGACCCGAAGACTGGCCCGCCGAACTGACGCTGACCAGAGCCCGGAGGAGCTGCCAGTTACCCAGAGGAGCCCCAGGAATTGATCCCCCCAGAGACACTGTCTGGAACCAGGTATCTCTAGAGAGGGAGTTAGGAAGTGGCTTGGGGGCAGCTGACCCTAGTCTGGCTGCAGCACTGCCAGAGCCTATGTCAGTCTGTTGCGGTCAGGATCCCCACTGACTCAGCAACAGGCCTTCTGCTGCTGCTAGGGCCCCAGGCTGGGACACAGTGGAGTGGGAGGGCCTGCGTCCCCCTGCTACTGAACTTGCAGGGGGCAGTCTCCCTTTCTCCCAGGCCCCTCTGAGCTGAGAGCCTTGCCTTGTTGTTTACCTGCCTTTGCTCAGCCCCTGCCTGAGGCCCTGGGCCATTGACACTCTGCTTCCCCGCCCTGACCAAGGGCCTGGACCTGCTAATTATATAACTGTTTGCTCAGCCCCTGCTTGAAGGCCTGAGCCATTGACACTCTGCTTCCCCGCCCTGACCCAGGGCCTGGACCTGCTAATTATATAACTGTTTGCTCAGTTCCTGTCTGAGGACCTGAGCCCTTGACTCACTATTGCCGCTGACCATGGGCCGGGTGCGAATAACTGTCTGTGTTTGCCTCTACTGCTGTCGTGGCGAGAGACTCCCGCGGCCAGCCTAATTCACCGTTAACAACTGGAAGGAAGGACCGAGGCGGTGTGGACCCGTGCCACCCCGGAGAGGGACGAGCCCTGGCCAAACCCCCTCTACTTTCCACAGTATGCATCCGATGAAGTGAGCTGTAGCTCACGAAAGCTTATGCTCAAATAAATTGGTTAGTCTCTAAGGTGCCACAAGTCCTCCTTTTCTTTTTGTGAATACAGACTAACACGGCTGCTACTCTGAAACCCCTCTACAAGGTGGATCCTCATTAAAGTCAGTGAAGCTCCTCACATGGGCCAGGGTCCATCCACAAAGTCAACGGCAGGATCAAAGCTAGAGGCTTGAACTACAGCCGTCCCTTACAGGTGCTCTGACCGTTACAAATACATCTATATTGTTGATTAAAGTAGAATCTATGCTTTTATCGTTCCTTGCTTGAATTCCTTAAAAAAACAGAGCAAAATATAAAATAATAATAATATTTTTTTAACGGTCTCTTTTGTGTGCAGTAACAAAATAAGTGTAGTGGGTACACACAGCCTAGTCAAACTCTTGACATATAGTGAGAAAGGTGTAAATTTTTGCAAGAAGAGTAATCTTTATGTATTTCTAACTATCTGATGAAAGTTACTGTCATATTTCTGAGAAACTCTGCATTCCAAAGTGAAGGATCTTAACTCCAAAATGAGCAAGAAAACTCTCTCTCAGTTCCAGTGCTTTTTCTGTCCTCATTTTTATTTTTCCTAAAAAGATATTTTGAAAATATTAAAATCGCTATGAAGAGTAAACCAATTTTAATGGTACAGCATTTTTAAAAGCCGATTGTAGTTTTAAAACACATTTTTAAAGTTACTTTTAACAATATTTTTATTTCTTTCTGTGACCTCATTTAGAAAATGGGATGTTTAAGATATATTTATTGTTACATAAAAGCTATAATAATCTTGTAAGGGATATATAGAACAGATATCCCTTGAATGATCAATACTTACTGATTCCTTCTGGCCCTCAGAATTAAAAAAAAAAGCTATCCACCTCCTGTTTATTCCAAAATAGGATCCACCTAAGAAGTAAAGGCACTAAGCAAATGGTTCACATCATTTGAGACACTTTATCTAAGCACCCACAGATCAGCCTTGGACAGGAGTTCCTTTTGCCAAGAATAGAAACTAAAATGGCTAAATGAGAGTATTGTCCTGGTGATTAACAAGAATCTTTCAGACTTGGCATATAAATAAAGCCTCTTTCTCTCTCCCAACCTAGCTAAAAAGAACACTAAGGGCTTGTCTACACTGGCACTTTACAGCACTGCAACTTTCTCGCTCAGGGGTGTGAAAAAACACCTCTCTGAGCACAGCAAGTTTCAGTGCTGTAAAGTGCCTGTGTAGACAGTGCCCCAGCGCTGGGAGCTGTGCTCCCAGCACTGGTAGCTACTCCCCTAGTGGAGGTAGATTTTTTTAGAGTGCTGGGAGAGCTCTCTCCCAGCTCTCTGCTGCGACTACACATGCCACATTAAAGCGCTGCCGCAACTTTAGGTTACCAAGTTGTATGCAGTGTTGTAGCTGTGTTGATCCACACCCGAGTTTGCATAGTTAAGCCGACCTGACCTCTAGTGCAGACAGCGCTAGGTCGATGGAAGAATTTGTCTGTTGAGCTAGCTACCGTCTCTCAAGGAGGTGGATTACCTACACCAATGGGAGAACCTCTCCCGTCGATGTACGTAATGTCTACATTGAAGTGCTATAGTGGCACAGCTGTGTTGCTATAGCATTTCAAGTTACCAAAGAAGGGTGACTTCCTTCTTTCTTATGCAAAGTGACCCTCTGCCCATTTTGAGGGGACAAGGGTTGGGTGGGGAATCTGCAAGTTAAGCAAACTAGAAATGTGGCTGTAAGATTGAAGGTTGAATTGGGCAAAATGCCTGTTACCCCAAGAAATACAATTCACATGTTTTAACCCCAAATTATAAACTATATATCATTTTCCTTGTAAATCAAATTATCAGAGATCATCTGTCTTGCATCCCAACTTGGAAATTGCACAATTTCTTTGCCTTGTGAGTCAGATCTACATCCTTCTATATGTAAAAAATATCTCTTGTTCTATTGTAAGTCATAAATAATGTGAAACGCTAATGTATAATCAAAGAATGTTGGTTTTCATCATAAATAATTTTTACATTCTCAAAGTAATAGGAATTGTCTGGCACAAGGAAGAAGGAATATTAAAAGATGTAAACCAAGGTATACCTTTGAAATATAGAGAAATTCATAGGTTCTAAGGCCAAAAGGAACTAGTCTGACCTCCTGAATAGCACAGGCCACATAACTTCCCTAAAATAATTCCTGGAGCATATATTTTAGAAAGATATCCAATCTTGATTTTAAAATTGCCAGTAATGGAGACTCCATTGCAACCCTTGGTAAATTGTTTCAATGGTTAACTACTCTCTGTTAAAAATGCAGGCTTTATTTCCAGTTTGAATTTGTCTTGCTTCAACTTCCAGTCACTGGATTGTCAAACCTTTCTCTGCTACACTGAAAAGTCCATTATTAAATAGTTATTCCCCATGCAGGTACTTAAAGGCTGTAATCAAGTCACCCTTCTCTTTGTTAAGCTAAAAAAGATCAAATTCCTTTAGTCTATCACTATAAAGCATGTTTTCCACTTATTTAGTCATTCTTGTGACTCTTCTCTGAACCTTTTCTAATTTATCAACATCCTTCCTGAATTATGGGAACCATAACTGGACACTATTACATCAGCAGTCTCACAAGTGCCAAATACAATAGGAAAATAAACTCTCTATTCTCTTTACTTGAGATTCCCCTCTTTTATGTATCCCAGGATTGCATTAGCTCTTTTGGACACAGTGTTATGCTGGGAGCTCATATTCAGTTGATTATCCACCATGACCCCAAATCTTTTTCAGAGTCACTGTTTCCCAGGATAATTTCCCATATGATAAGTATGGCCAATATTCTTTGTTTCCAGCTACATTCATTTACATTTAGCTGTATTAAAACACACATTATTTGCTTGTGCCCAGTTTACCAAGTGATCTAGGTAGCTCTGTATCAGTGACCTTTCTTCTTCATTATTAACCACCTCACCAATTTTTGTGTCATCTGCAAACTTTTATATTTTCTTCCCGGTCATTTATAAAAATGTTAAATAGCATAGGGCCAAGAACTAATCCCTGCAAGACCACACTGGAAGCAGGCCAGCTCAATGACTATTCCCCATTTATAGTTACATTTTGAGACCTATCAGCCAGTTTTTAATCCAT